GTGGGGTGTGAGGGCCTCCACCACTCCTGCTGGCAGCTTAGTGAGAAGCCCTTCCTGCTCTCTCAGTGATGCTGTCACTGTCTGGTTACGGCGGCTGCTGGCATTGCTCTGCCCTGAATGCTGTCAGGCAGCCGAGCAGCGCGCTGGGGTGCTAAGCGGCACAAGCTGCAGCAGCCAAGGAGCCGGGCAGCAGTGCAGTGCTGCCAGCTGGCCTGGGAGCTGTGACGGGGAGCCAGCCTGCCCTGAGCGGGGGGATGGCCCTTGGTGGCACACAGCACCGCTGTGCTCCTGCACACAAAGGCGTGAGGCTGGAGGCAGCTCGGGGCTGCACCAGGGGGCAGCAATCCTTTGGCTGCAGCGCTGATGGCAATGTGCGTGCATTATTTTGTTGGTTTTAGGAAGAACAAAGAATACTGAGACTGCTCTGGTGAATCTGAAACTCACAGCTGTAGTTTCTGGGGCCTTGTGAAGTGGAATGAAGAGGGGGCTGCACCTAGGGAATGCCTCACAGAGCCAGCTGGACTGTGAGCAATGCCAGCGCTGTCAAATGGTCACTGCATGAATTATTGACAATGTTCCTCCGTGCAAACACCAGGTCACCTGTGCGCCGCTGCCTGGCAGCATGTTCCTGGGGCAGCAGTGCTACATCCATAACTGCTGTCGACTGTGCTGCACGCCTTCCCAGGGAGAACATGCAGCAGCGCAGTGCATGTGGGGCACCTCAGCCTGTGTGGGTGGGCCCTGGGCAGTGTGCAGCAGTGCCTGACAGCAGATGGAGGGCAGGGCAGTGTGTGCTGCACGGGGAGCCCCACGGTGCCCATCCTCAGCAGGAAAGTGAGGTGAGCACCACCCCTTCACCACAGGGCTTGCAGAGAAAACGTTATTTCCCCAAATGTGTTCATCATTCAAAATCATTCAAGCAAAAGTCTCCATCTTACTGTAGCTATTACTCATAATCGGAGATCCTGGGTATGCGCAGCCCTGGGTAATTAAGCATGTGCTTTTTCTGCCCTCTGTTTGGGTAGAAGGGCAGCTACAGTTCAGCTCCAGGCTGTCCTGCAGAACAGACAGGGTTGCTCCCGGTGGGGCATGGATGACCCCTCTCCACTGCAGAGCTGTGGCAGCACCTTGGGCAAGCTGCTCCCTTCCACCTTGTGATGCTTTGAGCCTGGCTCGCAGGGGGGGCTGATGGGAGCCCTGGGCTGCCCCTTCCTGTGAGGAATGCCTCCACCTGTTCTGCAGCACGAGCGCGGTTGGCTGTTGTCTGTGGCTGTCTCTCTTGGTGCTCTGTGACTCACAGCTGTCATCAGCAGCGCTGCTGTATGCTGGTGTTCCTTATGCCATAACTGAACTGGGCTACAATATGTAGGCTGTTCTGGAAGTAATGCCTCCTATTTTTTCCATGGAAACTATAATACATAGGCCAGCTGTGCAGCTCTGAGCCCGACCTTAGGCACAGGCATTGCCCCAGCCCTGGACCTGCACCCCGAGGGCTTTGCACACTGTGTGTGGGCTGTGCCGCTGCGATGAGCAGAACTGCTGTCCCTGCGGGGCTGCACGGAGTAACTGACCTCACAGCCTTTCCTTTAGTTCAGTGAACTGTTTAAGCATGTGCTTAAAATGGTACATACGTTTTAGTGCTTTGCTGACCTGGGGCTAAGTGAGGAACTGATAACACAAGCATAGTGTTTCCTTTTGTGTTCAGGCTCCTGCATGAACTGCAGCTTTGCCTGGGGAGTTGCAAAACCAGCACAAATGTGCAGGATGACTTCGAGCTGCTCACTGCTATGCTGTGGCACAGCACCCAGTGTGAGGCTGTGGGCTGTGGCCAGGCGGGCAGGGACTGGCTCTGTGGTGCTGCTGGGGCTGGTGGTGAGCAGGACTGGCTGCCCCACCGTGATCCAGTCCAAGGAACCCTGGTGAGTGGGCAGCAGCAGCATGCAGGCAGCTCAGTGCAGCATTACCACCTTTGTCCTTGTGTTCTGCCCTTGATTTGTTCAGTAAAGGTTAATGTTGCTCATGGCTGTAGGCAGTTTCCAGCTGGAGGGCACAGCACATTCCTTTGCCTTTCCCACCTATCAGTGCTCTCACCTTGAGACCCTAGAGAGCTGTCCTCCCACTCAGTGTGCAGGAGGTGCCGTGTGTTCAAGGTAAGACACCATTGGCCTGGTCTGCCCAGCTGTGTGCTCCCCAGCAGAGGGGATGGCTCTGGTCCCTGTCCCCACACAGTGCCCAGCGCCAGGCCTCAGGGAGCAGCGCCACAGTTGTGCTGTTGAGAAATTCATGGACAATTCATAAATGTGTTTTACAGACAGCTGTTAGCATGTGCTGAGCAGAGCTCATTTTGTCAAGGAAAGCCTGTTACAGGATTATAGCAGGGCTGCTTAAATATTATGATCCATAACATATAAATAGTGGGCTGAGCGCTGCGCACACAGCACCGTGCGCTCTGCCCAGGCTCTCACAGGAAGATCAAACTTGCAGTAAAATGAAATGCAAAAAGTGCTGTGGGACCTGGTGGGCGGTCTGGAGGTTTTGACTCCCAAAATATCACTGCTGTTCAAGATCGTGTCACTACCTGAAGAGCTCCGGGATCCCCCCATTGAAGAGCAACCCACACACATTCCGGGAGGCAGCAGGTGGTGCCCCGCAGCAACTCGAGAGCCTGTCCGCAGTGCTGCTTTGCTGTAGCTCAGACACTTTTAAGAAATGGTGTTTAGCTGCTGATCTGCCAGGGCAGTGCAGTGCCCAAGCCTGTGCTGCCCTGAGGATGGGGATATGTGGGAACTGCCTCAGCTTCTGAGAAGGAGTACCTGGAGCCCTTTGGGGCGCACTCAGCCCATGCACATCCCTCCTTCTGCCCACTGCAGTCTGCCTGTGTGTCTGTGCCTGGGACGTGTGCTGGCAGCTGCACTCTTCCCATGCCTGGACTGAAACCTCCACAGGAGATACCAGGATATTTCTACTTTTAGAAAGCTATCCTGGGAGCCAGAGCCCAGCTGATGTGGACAGTGCATGTGGCAGGAGAACTTGTGAGAAAAGGCACTGTCTGAATAAAAAACAAATGTACCCTTGGAAAAGAAATACATGCAAAGTATTCAGGGGATAACATTGTACTTGCAAATAGTTATGCTTTTGAGGAACTTTATCTGGTAGATGGACCAACTGCAGTATGGTTAGTCACGTACTTAGTGCTATGGGAATAAGTATGTGCTGATTCAGAGCCTGTGCTCGTGCCCTGTGGAGGAGCAGCACTGTGCCCATCTCAGCCCTGCGTACAGCAGCTCTGTGTGCCCTGAGCAGTGCCAGCACCGGGCAGCTCCTCCAGGGGCAGAGCAGCAGCAGCTGAGCTGTGCTGGGAGCGATGGCAGCTCATGCCAGGCACACAGGGGTGTATGTTTGCAGTGTATGGTGGAATGTTTTGTGGATGCTAAGCAGCAATTAAAGTCTTCCTTTGGATCGATTCATTTCACACTGCCATGGTAGCAGGGAGGATCTTATTGAAACTGTAGGATTTTTAATATTATTACGCTAAAGACTCTCTCAGTATTGGTGTCTCCGTAGAGGGTCATTAGTGCACTGTAATGGGTAACAACTTCTCCAGTTCAGGAAATCTTGTTGTATTTGTAATGGGACGTCTGGGGCATATATTATGTATGGGACATATATTTCTCATTTCCACCAGGCATCATCTTTCCTTTTCTCTAAATTATTCTCTGAATCAAAATATATATATATCTTTCCCCTCAAAAAAAGACGTATTCCTTATCTCTCTATTTTATTTTAATCTTTGAACCCAGAAACCACTACGACCAGGGCTGTACATGCTGTACAGAGGAGTGCTCAGCCATGCAGTGAGGGAAGGCCATGGGGCCCAGCTGTGCTGGAGCCAGAGTGCCATGTTGTGGGGTACACAGCACAGCCCCAGAACACTGCTGCCTGCCTTGTTATAAAGGTTCTCACTACATCTTCACAGAACTTTTCTTACTGCACTTCATACCCACTGCTCCCAGACCAGACTGAGGACAAGAACCGGTTGCTGCCCTCCTCTTTGATTCTCCTCCAGCTTAATGCTTTCCTCTGTACTGCACTTTGCTTCTCACCTCTGCTTGTTTTTGTTTCATTCTTTCTTTCCTCTAATTTTTTCATTGCTGCACTAAAGGCTGTAGATGTTGGCCTTACACTGGCGTTCTACTCTGTGGGTTATTACCCCCGCAAGCACGGCGCCCAAACCTGGGTGCAGGACAGCTGCAGCGTTACCCTATGGCTGCCGGTGTAAGCTGTGCCGTGGTTTGCATCAGCCGCTAACTCGGTGCGTTCTCAGTGCCATCGCCGGAACGTGACAGCACGGAGCCCGGCGGAGCTCCGCGGCAGCTCAGGTCAGGGTGTCTCCGCGCTGCGGGGCCGCGTGCCCCGTTCGGTTGCAGGCGGCGGCGGGCGCCGGGCGGATCGCTGAGGTCGGATCGGCCCGCAGCTGTTCGCAACGCCGCCATCGGCCCGGCGAAGCACGAGGGCACCGCGCACCTCGGCGCCGCTCTTCCCGGCAGCAGCCGCGCGCGGAGCCCGAAGGCTGCATCCCGTGTCGGGGTGAGGACGTGGGCGAAGCGATTCCGAGACCCCGACCCGAGCGGCAGTCAGCGGCCGCATCGTTCTCTTTAGAAAGTTTATTTTTGGGCACCGCTGAACTCCCGGCTTCCCGGGCCGGCGGAGCACGGCCCCCAGCCGGGCCGCAGCGGACCCCACGCGCCGGGGTTCCTGTGGGTGGGGCGGCCGTCGTTTCGGCGGCGCGCCGGTCCGGCTCCGCGCGGGGGAAGCAGCGCCGCACGGCCGCGGTGAGTGCGGGCGGCTGGAGCGGGCGCGGGGCCGGGGCGGGGGGCGGCGCGGGGGCGCGGATCGGGGCGCGCCGGAGCCGCGCGGCGCGGAGGAGCCGCTCCCAGGGCCGGCCCGGGCCGCCGGTGTGGCCCTGCCCGCCGCCCCCCGCGCTAGGCCGCTCCCCCGCCCCGCCGCTCCTCCCGCCGCGCCGCCCCCGCCCCGCCGGGCGATGAGGAGCTGCTTCTGCCTGCGCCGAGGGAGCCGCGAGCCGCCGCCCGCCGCGCGGGGAACAGTTAAGTGTCCCCGGCCCCGCCGCCCTCGGCCGGCCGCGCTCCGCGAGGGAAGGAAGGAGGGCAGGAGGGCCGGGCCTGCGAACGCTCGCGGCTCCGCGCGAGGCCGGGCCGGGGCACGGGGGAGCGGAGCCGAGCGGAGCCGAGCCGAGCCGTCCGCGGCCCTCGGGGAGGCGCGGCCCGGGGCCGCAACCGCAGCCGCGGCGCCCCCCGCGCGGGGCCGGGCCCGCGGGACGCCGCCGTGCTGCTCGGCGCCGGGCGCGGCCTGCTGCGAGGCTCGGCCCGAGCCGGGCTGCCGCTGCGCGGAGCGGGGCTGCGGGTGGGACGCCGGCCCGGCGTGCTGGGGAGTTCGCTGCGAATTTTGTTCTCGGCCGCTTAGAGAGAATTGCAGCAGCGCTGCATTATGTGGTCTTTCGCTGCAAGCGTTTACGGCACGGATTTGCTTGACTGTTGTTTTTTTTTTTCACCTGTTCGCAGAGGTTTCTGCACAGCTGGAGGTGATCAGCGCGTGGTGTCTCCTTGCCGTCCCAGCCGGGACGGGGTGCTGAGCTGCCCACGCTCTGTTTGCTCCCCTCCCGCATTCCCAGCACTCAGCGTCTCCCTGTGGTGCCCAGGAAGGGTCACAAGGACCCTCTGAGCTTCACCCCCTCCCATGCGTCCTCAGAGCCAGGACAGTCACAGCTGGGTTATGATAGTGCAGGTCCTAGGAGGTGTTCAGTGCCCGGGCCGACAGCCGTGTACCTGCGTCCTGTATTTATCAGGCATCGCTGTGCCTGTGGTTCGATGTTGTGCCTGCAGCTCCTGGCTGAGGTGGCCTTACCCATGAGGTGTTCTGGGATGAAGCCTCAGTTTGAGCTCTTGAAGGTGTAAGATAAATACAAAATGTTCCGGTTTGTGACATGTGCTTCCCTAAGTGAGTCCCAGGCTTCAGGCCTTGCAGCCCCCAGGTGCAGAGATGGAAATAAATGATCCAAGTGTCACTGGAACCCTGGGGAAGGTCATCTGTGTGTGGAAATCTATTTTGGGTTGAAACAGGATACTTCACAAATGGGTGTCCCCAGTTAGAACTGCTGCGCAGCAACTCAAGAGCTCTGTTGTGATCAGTCCTGGACTTCTGTTCCATTCAGGTCCATCGCAGCGAATGGGGCTCTCGCAGCTGGTGCAGGGACGGCTGTGTGGAGAGTGGGTGTGCGGGTGACTGCTGGCGAACCTTTGTTTGCATGAAAGATGACCTTGAATCTGTCTGCTTGTAACTAATGTGTGACCAGGTCCCTAGCCATGTGTTCTGCTGTTGGCTCCTAATTTCTTTGACCCAAATGTCAGTTGTCTGTGCAAGCAGCCATGCTGTGCCTTGTGATCAGAGTGATGGAGCAGAACTGTGGACGAGTTTCCAGCAGCACCTGCTCTGGTTTGTTGGACTCTCTCCTGCGCAGTACAGGAACATACTGAGATAGGTGGTGTTTTGTTTGTTTTTTCCAGTTTTGCCTTAGCTCATGCTTTTGATGCCAGCAAGCTGACTTGTGCAGTTGACACAATAGAAGGGAGGGATGCCATCCAGAGGGTCCTGGACACGCTCATAAAGTGGGCATACAAGAATCTAATGAATTTTAACAAGGCCAAGTGCAAGGTGTTGTATTTGAGTCAGAACAATCCCAGATACGAGTACTGACTGAGAGAAAAGCTCCTTGAGAGCAGTCCTGTGGAGGAGGAGTTGTGGTTCTGGTGGATTAAAAGCTGACATGAGCCAAGTGTGTGTGTGTGCGGCCCAGAAGGCCAGCAGTATCCTGAGCTGCATCAGCAGAGGGGTGGCAGTTGGGTAAGGGAGGCGATTGTCCCTCTCTGCTCTGCTCTTGTGAGGCCCCATCTGGAGTACTGCATCCAGGCCTGTGACCCTCCGTACAGGAGGGATGCAGAGCTGTTGGAGCGAGTCCAGAGGAGGGCCACAGAGATGATCAGAGGGCTGGAGTACCTCTCCTATGACGACGGGTTGAGAAAGTTGGGCTTGTTTAGCTTTGAGAAAAGAAGGCTCCAGGGAGACCTCATTGTGATCTCACCAACTTTCTACAGTCTGATCATGATAGGACAAAGGGGAATGGCCTTGAACTAAAATAAGATAGGTTTAGGTTAGATGTTAGGAAGGAATGTTTTTACTCAGTGAGCTTCTGGAACAGTTTGCTCAGAAAAGTTATAGATGCCCCACCTCTGGGAGCATTCGAGGCCAAGGTGGATGGGATCCTGTGCAGTCTGATCTAATGGTTGGCAACCCTGCCCATGGCAGGAGAGTTGGAATTAGATGATCTTTAAGGTCTCCGTTCTGTGATTTTCTTCTCTGTAGGACGAGCAGGTTGGTGCCAAAGCACAGGGCTTACAGTTGTGGGAAGAACCAATGAGCTGCTTCTTTCTCCTGACTCCCTCTATTTAGCCACAGAATCTGGCCTGCCTCCCTGCAGTGTGAGGCTTCTACAGCACATACATCAGGCACTGGCTACTCACCTGCCACCCACTCTTGGTCTTGGTTCTTGAAAAAGAGCACTGAGAAGGAGAGCACTCCGTGAGTTCAGCGTAATGTGTGGATTTCTGGAGCTGCACTTCTGTGTGTGTCCCAGCCGTGATGCAGCAGTGCGGGCGGTTGGGTCACCGGGGCACAGTGCTCCACTCCAAGTAGATAGTGAGGCCAGCAGGAAAGCATGCCTGGGATCATCAGAGATGAGCAAGCAAGGAAACAATTGAGAGAGAGCACAAAGTAGATGTAAAGGGAGAGCTCAGGCACTACGGCACAGTGAGCCCTGGCTCCGAGTACAGACTGTGCTGGGGGCTTCCTGTATTACATGGCGCTGTGCCTGCAGGTCATGGCCTCCAGTCTGTGACTGTGGGGCTGGGCAGGAAGCCGCCATGGGTACATGCAGCAGTCTTTGTTCTGTGGCTGGAGTGGAGCATCCTTGCACACAGACTGCAGGGAGCTGGGGTGGCTGCCCCATGTGGAGCCTGCCTGATGTGGGCTGCCTGTGGAGCCATGGTTGAAGCTTTTGGGGTTGAAGCTTTGCTGCTGAGGAGCTAGGGGTGTTTTGCTGCTTTTCAGGAAGGTCAGCTTCTGGTGTTCCTGAGGCCACTCCAGAGCAGGAATCTCTCTGTGCCCCAGGCCAGTACTGCACTGAGTGAGTGGGGCTGAGCTGGGCCTCTTCCTGTCCAGGACTGCGTCCGACTTCCCCAGGCTGGGAGCAGGAAGTGCCCTGCTGCTGGGAACAGCCTCCAGGGAATGTGCTTCGAGCAGTGCAAAAAATGCTGTGATTGTTTGGTTCCCAGATTTACCCTGCAGGGGGGTGGTGGGGCTTTGGGGAGCACCAGGCCGTCCTTGGTCATCAGCCGAGTCCTCAGGCACTGCCACACTGTAGGCAGGTCAGCGGTGTGGTGTTTGAAGAGAACTTCTCTGAAACAACAAGCTATCTAATGGATGTATTTATAGAATCTTGTTCCTTAATTTAATCTGCTCTTTCACTGTTTGTTTTTTATTTTTAAGTTCAAAGGTGTGATAGCAAAGAAACTAAACTTTGCAGGCGCCCGAGGGGGAGTTGAAATGTAACTCCTGGTCTGCATCAGCCCGAAGCTCTGCTCTGACCTGTTCCGAGTTCAGAAAAACATTTACCAAGCACGCAGGCCAGTTCCTGCTGCTCTGCACCAGCTCCAGCTCATCCCAGTGCCCCGCGGGTGAGAGCTGCCCCGCCGTGCCGCACAGCCTGGGGTCAGCCGGGTGCCATCCTGCAGGGTGCCATGCTGGGTGGTAGCACCACCAGCAGGAGGCTTCGTGTGGGCCCTGACCAAGTGTGTGTTGGTGTGTGTGTTGGTGCGCGTGCTGGGTGCTCACCCAGGTGCTGGGGTAGAGCTCTGTTGGTGGTGGTCTTTTTACCACGCGCTTGTTCCCGCTGCTTTGTAGGCTTTAGGCAGTCTGGTTTGGTTGTTTGTGTGGCATTGTTATTTACATAGGCCCCAGATTTGCTCTTTTTTGTTGCCTGCAGCACCGTGTTGGTTCAGACTGGGCACTGTGAAGTGTAACCCTGGTCCTGCTGGCACCAGCACTCACCTCTGCCTTTTTAGAAGCAGTAAGTAACCTGCCATCTCTGCAGCCTCAGTGCTGGGCTTGGTCCCCCTGAGGAGACCCTGCCTGCAGTTTGTCTGCCTGCCCGCCTACAGCAGCGCTTGTGCCAGGTGCTGCCGTTGGATCTGCAGTGCTGGGGTGTCCTGGGGCAGTCCTGTCTGAGCCAAGGGCCCTGCCCTGCTGCCGCTGCAGGAAGATGTGCCAGGGCAGGGGCACCTCTCCTCTCCCATGAGCTCTTTGGACAGCTTTCCTCTCCTCCTGCTTCCAGCAACAGCATCTCTCCAAGATGGGTTGGTTTCACCTGCTTCTCTCCCTCTTTGTGTCATTCTCTGCCCTAAAGTATTCGGTGCTGTTCTGCCTTGCTCATGGGAGATGCTTGGGCTCCTTGAAGGCCTCTGTCTGCTTTGCATCAGACCATCCTGTGCTGCTTCGTCTGTGTTCCCCTGGCACTCCGCCACAGGCACAGTTTTGCATACAGACACATTTGTGCTGCTATGCGGCCGTGGCTTGGTTCAGGGGTGTGTGGTGGGGCTGAAGCCTCGCAAGAGTCCTCATCGTGCCCAGTGCCTGTCATGGGTGGGAGCCTTAAGCTGAAGCCATGGGGAGCAGATTTCTTGCCGCTTAAAATAGCAGAACAGCTTCAGCCAGCCTTAGTCAAGGATGGAATTTGTTCTTATTTGGGAGGGAAAGGATGAGTTTGGGTTTTCCCATCGTTGCTAGATGGAGACCAGCCCATGCAAAATATGCTGGAAATGATAAAATTAATCTCAGAAGAGGCTGCTGACCCAAATTCCAAACCTGTTGGGCATTGCACAAGTGTGTTGTCTGATCAAAAACAAACAAAAGCACAGAAGGTGTGTCTACCTGATCCTGCATTTGACTTGGCAGCCCATGGTTTTCGGGCACAGGCTCTGTGGCATGCATGTGGGCTTCCAGTGCTCTGTTCCTCCAGGGAGTGCATGCTCCCAGGCAGCCCCTTAACTCTGCTGCTTTCTTTCAGGATCAGTCCACAATGCCTGAAGTGCGAGATCTCTCCGATGCCTTGCCTGATGTGCCAATGGATCCCATCACAGGGGTTGGCGTGGTTGCGTCCCGGAGCCGCGCACCGACAGGCTATGATGTAGTAAGTAGAGCTAGTTCAGCTGCTGTTGCAAATGCTTTGGTTCTGCATTAATGAAACTTTGCTGGGAATAGTATCTCTTCCAGCCAGGATTTGCCATCAGACATTGTTGTAAGAAGTAATTTGGTGTCTGTATGCCCACCTTGCAGCCCAGGGCACTCAGCAGTGCTTTCCCTGGATGGAGGTCTGTAGGTGCAGTTGCGCAACTTTGTGCTTCTCCTCCAGAGCATAATTACCTGGAGGAGGGGCTCTGAGAAACAGCTGGCTGCTGTGGCATGCAAATTTAATAATCCTAGTAACTGCCATCCTGAAGGATTCCTAAGTATCGCACAAATTACATCTCCAAATAAATGGATCCCACATCAGCTGTTTAATCCCACATATCAGCACTGCATAATAATGATGAGAAGCTCCAGATTGGGAAGCAAAGAGTTTCACAACCAGCTGAAATTGTAAGGGCGATTTTGATGGACAGAATGCAAACCTCTAAATTAAGCTTTGGCAGGAGGCTGGGCAGCAGGAAAAGGCAGCTGGATCCAGTGGAGATGAATATGTGAATGGATAGATGGCGGTCTTTGTTTAACAGCTGCTTGTTCCCTGGATTAGTTGCTGTATAACCAACAAGGTGATTTTATTTGCCTATAGATGAGTGAGTGTCCTAGGCAGCAGAACGTCACGAAGTACTGACTTTGCAGAGCAGTGTAGGGAAGGTTTGGCCTATAGCTCATCTTTCTGTGTGTCCTGCTCCAGCTATGCTGCATTGCATCTTGGGTTTCAGTCACACAGCTCGTGTAGCTCACATCCTCACAGCCCTGGGTTGCAGTGTGCCCCGTGCTGCTGTGTGAGAAGGAAGGAAATGGGTCGGGCTGCAGTAGGGAGGGGTGAATTGTGAAAAGGCTTCTGAAAGGCAGAAGGTTTTTTGCATTTACTGCATTTTTCTGAGCACTGATTGCCTGTGTGAGCCAGGCTGTGTAATTAGCTGCTTGCCCTGATAAAGGAGCATGGGGCAGTGTGAGAGACATGATAACAGAATAGCATTCAGCCTAAATGACTGGGCAGAGACCTCACTTGCCCCAGATAGCATGTGTGGAGTTTAATGGGGGCTGCAGCCCTAACACTGTTTAAACTAAACAAGATAAAAGATTTTTCCTGGGGCTTAATCCAATTATAGTAGTGTTGCAATAATGCTTGAGAATGTGGGTCGCTCTCTCCTAGGGGGCATGGGGAGGAGTCTGCCGTGCTTCTGATTTTTGTCTCACTTTGTGTTTACAAGAAGCTCTCCTCTGACTCTGGGGCCAACAGCTTCTGCTGTAGGCACTGAGGTGTCTGCTGCCTGCAGCAGCTCTGCCCATGGTCTGTGCATGCAGCAGGGTACCTCTGCACAGGGTCACAGCTGGTGTCCCACTATGCAGTACCTGTGGTGGTGTGGCCTTATCCACCATGGATGGGTACACTCAGGGCAGCACTTCCCTCAACCTCCAGAATCCGGGCTGTAGTGTCTCAAAGCAGGAAGCCAAGCACGCCCTGACCGCAGGTAGCTTTGGGATGGTTTTGCAGCTCCCTGGGGGATGGATCTCTTTGCCCCTTGCCACAGCATCCTGTAGCACTCTGTTCCAACACTGGGCTCAGCACTGTGGGAATGCTTTTCCTCTTAGCAGTAATGAATTGGTCATTGTGTCATTTTGTTGGTGGGTTTGAATTCTGTGATGGCATAATAACCAGTTCTTTTTTTCTGAGCCAGATGTATTATATGTAGGCTTTATCTAGTTTTCCCTTCATCTGTGCACTGTTCACAACACGCAGCCATCTACTTCCCCCTCTTCTGCCCAATGGAGGGCAGTGCCTGGGGTGCTGCCCGCCCAGGTGGCGGTGGCAGGGACTGGGGGGATCTGAGATATTTTTTTTCATCCTTTATTTTTTTTTCTTTCAGTAGTTTTCTTAATTATTCAAACAACTCATTTCCCTTTCTGTCTGTTTAGGAAACAGCTGCTGGCGCTTTGGCCAGATCTTTTAGTAGCTGGAGCACTAAAGAACGCATTTTGCCATAACATACAGAGTGTGTCTGAACTCAAATTTCTGAAAATCCACCCCAACTGGCACTGCTGAGTGCAGAGGTGGGCAGGAAGGGTGAGTGGGGAGCTTTGCAGCATGGCATAGGCTGCAAGCAGCACAGACTGTGCTTTGCTGCTGCCTCTCTGGGTGTCTATAGAGCTGTGAGTGGGAGTCCCTCCTGTTGGGTTTCAGTCCATTCTGGGGTGGGAAGGCATGAAGAGCAGCTGAGCTGACCCATGCCCCTGCCCCCTCGGTAAGGTCAAGGTGGGTGTGCTGGGCACCCATTACCAGGCACCTGCTCTTGTCCCCTGTGTTCAGCCTGGACAGGGGGACATGGCTGGGGCTGCTTGGGGCCACAGCCCTTCCTCATCCCTTCTCCTCAGTGCAGCCCCCACGGCCATGCCCTCGTGCACAGTGCTGCTTGGGTGCAGCTCCACTCCAAGGTGCTGGGATCCTCCCCACCTGCTGGTGCCCAGAAGATGATGCAAGAACTTTCTCATTTGTGTTACTCTGTTTTCTTTCCCTGTGAGTTTTCTGACAAGTTAATGCATGCTTATATCTAAGCTTAGAAAAAGGATTCACCAGGACGATGTGAAGCCACAGCACTCAGGATTAATTGCTGGGGATGGTGCCTGCAACTGCTGCATTTCAGCAGAAACAAGAAGGGTTCTCTTGGCTTGCCCTGCCCATGGGCACTGGGAGCCAGTAAGACCTGGTTTCCTGCTCTCAGTTCTGCAGCGCTATGGGAGGCGGTTGGGCTGTGAGGGGCGATGGGGGCATCGAGGCAGTGCAGGAGGGAAGTGCAGCCTGATGGGCCAAGAGCTTGTCTTGATGACTCGCTGGTAAACTAGCTTCAGCTGCTGCATGTGGTAACTGTGGAGTTAGAATTGCAGGGTACTTCCCTAAAAGGGTTTGTGGTGTGGCTTTGCTGTTGTTTTATTGTTGCTTTTTGAGGGCTTTTTTTCATCGCTGAGTCAGGGTGGGACACTGCTGGGCTCTGCTGCTTGGGGCAGGCGCTGGTGGCAGCTCACAGTCCGCAGTGGGAGCTGTTCCCATGTCCTGTACCTAGGAATGAGCTCAGCAGGGATTTGTGAGCAGAAGATGCTGAAATGTGAAGAGCAACCCATGCACTGTGTTGCCTTTATGTTAGACGCACATTTCTCTCCTGCTCTTTGGATAATGGGAGGGTGAGCATGCACCTTGCCTCCTGCACTCTGCACAGAGCCTCTGCCCTACAAAATATGGGTGCAGACAGTACCAAAAGATACCAGCTTCTTTGTTTTCAGGCTGCACAGGGGCCAAGGTCTTGCTTAGTTCGGTGTGATCATGGCTTAAGAAACTGCAGAGGGGAGGTTTGCTCCTTCTGCTGTGCTTACTGTCCTGTGCGACTCCTGGTGGGAGCTGTCAGTGGGATGTTAGGGGAGTGTATGACTTGTTTGCTGTCCCCTCTGCTTAGTGAGCATGCCCTCTGGGCAGGGCTTTCTGCCCCCCCGCTGCTGGCACAGCCCTGCTCTGGCCCCCAGTGCCCCTTATGCTGTGCCCTGAGCCACTGCGAATGACATCTGCTGCTGCCTGCCTTCCTGTGTGCATTTGTCTCTTCCATGCAGAACCTGTGGTGTTTCCCTCACCCTCCAGTTTGCTACTGATTGTACTGAATGCAGTCACTGTCACAGCTCCACAACTCATTTGATGTGATGCTTTAATCTGGTTGAAATCATGTGTAAAATCACAAGGAAAGACAATGATTTTTGCAGGAGTGCTGTTCTTCCAGCTTCGTTCTGTCAGAAGTGGCCCCATGGCTCCAGGGCAGCCTTGGAGCTGTCACTTTGCGGATAGCTCTCCAGTGCTTTGTCAAAATGGACCCCCCCTTGCAGCTTGCACAGTGTGTGTATAGTGTAATGAATGCCTCAGTATGCTGACTTGTCCAAACTATTGTTTGGAGACTGCACCAGAGTTGCTGTTTCCTCATTAGAATAGTTTTTGTCAGAGTGTCTTTAATCAATGGACTCCCCAGAGACAGCATTTTTAGAACTTTATAATACCTCTTCTTGGAAGTTCTCTGCACTGCACCTTCTGAAGAAACTAACGAGATGCTGTGAGAGTTTGGACTACCGTTAATTAGAAGAGATCTGAGGAAGAGGTACTGCACACACATTAATGTTATCTTGGCTTACACATCTCCTCTATCCCTCTGTCTCTTCTTTCCAGGTTGCACAAACAGCAGATGGCCTGGATGCTGACCTCTGGAAGGATGGCCTATTTAAATCCAAGGTCACACGATACCTGTGCTTCACAAGATCATTTTCAAAAGAAAATGTAAGTCTGTTTGCTAAGTGTCTGCATGATTTGCATTTGTGCCTGGTGTGTTCTTACCTATATAATGATTAAGGTTGTGGAGCCCATTATAATTCAAGCAAGTGTTTAGCTGAACTGAGGTGACCAAGAAGGCAAACTGCAATGGCCAGATACTTTATGCTTTGTCTGTATTCTTTGGGGAAGGAAATCACTGGCAAAATCTGTAATAAAGGCAGTGAAAAAGTGCATGTTTGCATTTCAGCAGCTCCTTTCCGCGAGCATTTTCTCTTAAAATGGGAGCTGCATGCTCCAAGTGATGATGAACCTCTAGCTCTGATCACTTGGAGAATTATGTAATAGTAACAAAGTAAATGCTAGTTGCTGAATCCAGGGGCAGCATACATGTTTTCTTCCAGGATTACCTTTTTTTCTTTTCTTTTTTTTTTGGTGCCAATTCTTCAAAATCTGCCCACACTGTGCATACACTGCCCTGTACTTGTAATCTTCCAGTATGGCTATGAAACACTAGGCTTATTGTCGATTGGTGGCAGTTGTGTGCTCACATCTCCCGTGGAAGGGAGGAGGCCATATGCAGTGAGAGCCTGATGCCTTCTGCTGTGTTCACTTAATTTTTCAGCTGAGGGTAGTGTGAAAACTTTCTGCTTTCCAGGAGAAACTGTTCAATTGTACAATGAATGCACTCCATCTAGTGGGTAATTTTGCTTTTCTTGGTGTTTTAGATATTCTCAGGGACTGAATTCTCAAGGGTATAGTGATATCATTTTGTACTTGAGTCTTTCCTAATAATAGAAAAGCAACTGTGACTTTGGAGGTTGGTTGATCACAGATCTTGAAATGAAAACCAAGGGCCTGTCAATTCCCAGCTTTTGACCTTTATTCCGTCCACTTTCCTGCTGTCCTCCAGATTAAAATAAAGCTCTAAAGCTATGCTTCCTGGGGTCGACAGACAATAATTGTGCAATACATCCTTGAGTAGCTGCAGTAGCAGGAATAATAGCCCAGAATAGGTAGGGAGGATACTAAACAGAAAGATTTGTGATTATTTGGTATTAAGTTTATCTGTGGCTACCTTAAATGCAAGGTTGTCAGAAATAATTACAGGATAGTAGTAACTACTGGCTATCAGAGACAGTGTAAATCCCCTCAGTCAGTGTCTGTTGGGCTTTGGCATGATTCATCTGCTCAGCATGGTTTGGGAATGCATTCCTCATATTTATGAGGAATGAATTAAAGCAAATGTAGCAGGAGGGCTGCGGGGGTCTCAGCTGTGCAGCAGACGGAGGTGCGAGGAGCAGCACAGGCACGGTGCCCCACGCTGGGGCTGTGAGGCAGCCTGTTGGGGTGCTGGGCTGGGGCACCGCTGGGCAGCTGCTGCACTGAGCCGTGCTCCCACGCCTGATGGCTGGCGAGGAGCTCCCTCTCTTTGGAGGCCCGATTTCCCGAGGGTGGTCAGCCTGCTCGCACCTGCAGGGATTCCCTCCTGAGGCTGCTCCTCCGTCCAAGCTGAACAGAAGGTGCAGAAGATGGCTTAGGATGAAATTTTACTTTTTTCTGTATTGTCTTCATGTTTATAAAGACTGCATAGTAACTAAAGTATAGAGTGGGTTTTTTTTACATACATGAGTGTAGATTGCTGGCAGCAGTGTTGGCTTTAATGAGAACGGCAAAGAAAATCTGGTCTCAATTGTGGAGGTTGTCATTCTGAATTGTGTTTTTAGCTCTTCAAGCCTTGATTAATAGGACAAGGCATCAGTTCAGAATTCATATGGACTCAAATGAAGTTCTTTGTTCCAGATGGCCTGCTTTTCTGGAGCACAGCTTTGTTTGGAGCTAGAACTGTCTTTATTCAGTACTAATTAGCTAACGCATGTAATAACTTTGGCTGTGTCTGCGTGAACCATTTTCTTGTAATGCTTTCTGCCATTGTTGTCACAGAAGCGTTGTGTTGTTCTTTTAGAAGCAGTGAGGGCACTAAGGTTACCTGATTAACTGTTTATTTTCTCTCTTCAGAGTCACTTAGGAAACGTCTTGGTTGACATGAAGCTCATTGACATCAAGGACACTTTACCTGTGGGCTTCATCCCCATTCAAGAGACTGTTGACACACGTAAGTTGAGGCTGTTTCTTCAGTCCCGTGCCCTGGTGCCTGTTGGTAGGCCATGTCCTGGGCAGAGGGATGCTCTGAGTGTGTCTGCTCTGTGAGGCACAGGCACATTTCAGGGCAGCTCTTCCTGTATTCCCCAAACTCATTAGTACTGCCTGGCTGCCATTGGCCTGCTTGCATGAGTGGAAAGGAAGAACTTGTCCTTCAATCTTGCAGGGTTGGACTGGGCCAGTAAGGGACAGAGCTGCCATGCTGGGAGATATTCACAGGCATGTGCTGAAAGCACAGGGTTTGTGCACAGTGCTGTGTACCACCTGTACACAGCTTTGTACCACCTGCACAAACACAGGCACAGGCCTCAGCACAGAGTGCTGAGATGTTTGAGCTTGCTGAGAGAATCCAGGAAAAATATTGTCCTCACTTCTGCAAGGCATTAGTGACTTTCTCACAGTGTTTAAGAGAGCAGTTCCTAAGCAGTGTCTTCTGATCCCCTGAGCCTTGTGGCAGCTGCTGATGCTGTGCTGGGTTGAGACAGCCTGGCCTGCAGCAGGCACCGAGTGCTCCTTGCTTCCAGTGCAAAGGGACCAGGGGAGCAGCCCAGGGCAGAAGGCTGGAAGGGTTGCAGGGCACGGGGTGTGACTACACAGGGACTACACTGGGTGCACACTGCTGGCACCTGTCCATGTCAGTAATGAGATCCAGACCTGTTATAGACAGGAAGGAGGCATGTGAACCTGCTCTGCAGGGAATCATTCATTCAGGTCTGCAGCAAATTATGACTTTTTTAGTCCCTGCTGAACTGGTTCTGATTTGAACACGTAACCTAGAAGTGAAAAGTTCTGCAACCTGGTACTGGGTGCCTGAGCTGTCCCCCTTCCCTGGAGAATTCCCAGTGATTCCTGTGCACCCCTGGGAGTGTGGGGTAATTGTCGGCTGCTGGTGCAGCATTTGTAGCAGTGCTGGTAGAAAGGTGAGAGGAGAATTTGTCCTTAATTTAAAATGCATTGGATTTGCAGCCCATATAGAGGCACTGTCTGTATTAATGAAGTGGTGCATATCCCTGTCTCCATTAGCATGACTGAACACATTTCGATTGACTGTTTATAATATGTTTACTTAAAATTAACTCAGGTTAAGCATGAGTAATTAATGGATTCTGCTCCTAAACCAAGTTTGCTGCAGACTCTAGCCAAGTGTGGAAGAGATTGAAGATGAAAGCAAACACTTGGCTTTGTACTTGCTGTAAAAGTCGAATAACAAGCATGAGTTTTGTTTAAAACTGAATGTTTTAGTTACGTGAGTTTCTGTGTTCTCCTCTAAGGGACACTTGACTTACAGTAAATAGGTATAATATTCCCTAGTGGTCTTGACAAAATTTTCAGATGTGAAAGCCTTAAACCCTGAAACAGTATCCTAAAATCATTTTTAGACATGCCAAATAAAGGCCTTATTTTTTCAAAGCAGGAGTGGACTAGAATTTAGGGATATAGATACTGAACATCTATAAAAAGCAGCACTGTGAATGCAAAGGTGAGTGCACAGCTGCTGTACTGTGACACACCTCACTGCCTGTACACTTGTTGGTACTGGACAGCAGGTTTCCAAGGCCAGAATGGATTGCTTTCTCTGAGATACAGATTATGAAACAGGAGGAGCCTACACAGATAGGACTGCTTGCCATCTGGTAAAGTGAGGGCATATTTTTATTCTGGAGGATATTTATTCATATTAAATGGGAGAGGTTTTATTTTCCAGGTGCTTTCAGATTTTTCATTCATTGTCTGCACTTTCCATTTTTCACTTTATCTGTAAACTTCTGTCATGTCTTTTAAGTGTCTGCATGCACAAATGGATACCTCACCTTGCTGACATTGAGGCCCGCAGATTATTTAGGAAGAGGTGGAGCAGATCTGTATCTGTGTACCAGTACCATGTATTATCCTGCAACTGACCCATAACTGGATGTGGATTATCTGCATGCAGACAGACAGCAGCCTTATTATACATCATGTCATGCTACAGATAAACCTGAACTTTGATGGGCTTGACTTATTCATAGTGGATAACATGGAAACAAGTAAAATTTCCCTCTGATGCAGCATATGGAAGGGCTTGCAGGAGACGCTTCTATCCTTTGCATACAGCTCAGCCCAGTTCTCCTGTTGGGGTCCCAGCAGTTACTGCTTTGCAAATCTGATTTTAACCTTACAAAGATGCCACAGCATTTGCAGTGGGAGTATCACTTCAGTGCTAACTGACAGTCAGGCCAGGTTGTAAGCACTTAAAATGTGTGAGAGTTGGACAGGTGAGGTTTATTACTAGCTACTGTACATGGCAGCATGTTTTCTGCTGCTCCTCAGTGTAGTTTGATTGGCTGTCTGGAAGCACTTGGCAAAACAAACTGCCTGGTTGCTTCAGCAGATACTGAGTCTGCTGAGTCAAATCCTACCTTAGAAAGAGGAACTGAATATGAGAATTATATCATAGAATGGCTTTGGTTGGAAAGGACCATAACGATCACCCAGTTCCAACCCCCTGCCATGAGCTAGTTCCCACCCAATGGATCAGAGTGCCCAGAGGTCCATCTAGCCGGGGCTTGGTATAGAGAAGTATAAAAACCACTTGCCACTTCTTTTCTGGGTGCAGTGTGCTATTCTATGTGTGATGTCTTGTCTTCTCTGCAGAGGGAAGTAGGAAGTGTTGGTTTATCACAGTGCCCAGTAACAAATCTCACATAGTATACAGAGAATTCCTGATAGAAAATTTCCTCAGTCATCACATGGCACTGTACTGGTTTGCTGACATACATCTGTTTTTTGGCTCCATTTCCTGCTGTGATGATCTGCCTAATATCTGGAGAGACAATAAATAACATTTGTACACTGATCTTGCATTAAAAAAACAAAACAAAAAACAAAACAAAACAAAAAAAAACAACCAAACACCTCTGTCCTGGATTGTTTTTGCAGAAGAAATAGCTTTCAGAAAGAAGAGGCTGTGCATTAAATTTATCCCTCGAGATTCTACAGAGGCAGCCATCTGTGATATCCGAATCCTGGGAAGATCTAAGCAAGCCCCTCCTCAGTACACGTTCATAGGGTAAGTAGCACTACTCCTGAAGCTGATCCCATATTTTCAGTTGTAGCAAGGCTAAGTGCCTTGTCTTCCTGTAATTACTAAGTGGGTGTTTGTAAGAACTGGGAAGGTCCGTGTGATTACAAGTGTTACTGATTGTGATGTGTGACCTGGAGTCACTGAGCCTGGAGGAACGTTTAGACATTATATTGAAGGACATGGTTTGGTGAGAGCTATTGGTGATAGGTGGATGGTTGGACTGGATGATCTTGTAGGTCTTTTCTAGCCTTGGTGATTCTATGATTTTGTTACTTTTTCAATAAGACTAGAACTTGGCAGAGCTGTTTATGAAATTTAACCATGCTTGATAGTTGTGCATGTATGTGGCATTAATGTCTTCTGTGTTGACTACCCAGGGAGTTGAACAACATGGGCATTTGGTATCGGATGGGCAGAGTTCCCCGCAACCATGAATCTTCACAGCCTGCTGCTCCTTCCCAAGCACCATCTCCAACACCAGCTCCCAACCTGCCAAGGTGAGTTTTCTGCTTTCCAGCTCTTTCTGCTTTGTGCAACATGGCATGGTGGAATCAAGACCAGGGGCACTGCCTCACTATGAATAACTGTGTGGTATATTTTGTAGTTTCAGTGTACGTGTGAGTTACCCTGGAGGAGGGGCCAGAACTGTAGTCAAGCTGATTTGTCCTTGACTAAAGAGAAGTATGCATACAATCTTTAATGGGTAGGGAGACAAGTTCTGCTCTTTCTTCAAAATCAGTCCACTCATGCTTTGAAGTAGTAGCCCTTTTTTGGTTGTTTTTTGGACCCAACCACTATGCTTCAGGTTTTCAGTTGACATTGTGTATGCAGAGCAGACTGTTCACTTTGCAGTGAATGACAAAAGCAGCAATTTCAGGCAGACACTGGCATGGCGTCTGTCCAGGTTGTTTTCCCTGTTATATGGTGTCTGTGTGTGTACAAATGTATGCACAAGTATATTTAACGTATAATAGTAGTCCTGTAATGACAGCTTACTTGCTGCATTTCTCTGGAGAAAACAGTGTTGTTAAGCAACAAACCAACCTAGACAGATGTTAAACTGAGCGATTTATACTCCTAGATTTGATGCAAAAGCACAGCCATGTAAGATAGGCTTCTACTGGTGAGTCTGGTCACACCCAGCCATTGCCAAGGGTCAGCATGTTTTCAACAGATCCCTTTGTTTTTTTGCTTAGTAGAGCAAAATACATATTTTTGCATTAGGCATTTGGTGTACTGCAAGTATATTTACAGTATGCCAGTAACTGTTGAAAGCTGAAACATCAAAGGAGTGAACAAAGAGTAATTCCAGAGAAGTTGTATACCAAGGTCACAATCATTCCAGAGAATGATGCTTTTAAACTGCTTTGAACTGTCCCTGAAAAACCTATTGAGTATATTTATAAAGCAGGTGTGTATATTAGAGCCCTCACCTGCACCCCAGACTTAAATCTGCTGTCTTATGGTATCTCTTTGACTTCTCCAAAGAGTTTGGGTGCTTTTTTTCACCAAGACGTTTGCTCAGTCACCGGCTGTGCCTCGGCCCCCTGCTTGCTGTCCTTCCTTGCCAGGTGCTGTCCATGCAGAGGTGCTGTGCAAGCAGAGGTGCTTCCATGTTTCTTGAACAGAAATGGAGGCAGAAGAGGTGAAAAGTCATCAGGCTTCTGAAAGCGTTTTCCTGTGTCACCAGGAGTTATTGCATTGTTTTGAAACACCACTGGCCATAAGGTGTGTGTTGGTGAGGGCCTTGCATGATCAGAGGGAGAGATGTTCTGATTTTAGAGCACAGCTCTTCATTTTCTGCCTGCAGAAAATTCCAGCCTGGGCAAATTTCCACAATAAAGAGAAAAATTATCATAGAGAGAGAACGTCAATGGCAGTCCTTAATCACCAAGTGTGGAAGGGTCACTTTATAGCTGAGCAGGGAAGGCTGCAGAACAGCTTCAGAGCTATTGGGAACAGGGCCAAAATTAGAGCTCAGAGCATCAGCAACAGTCTGAAAAGAAGTGTTTACAAGGCTTATATATTTTATAACCTCTTGTTGTACAGTTTATGGTTTACAATGGCTGCAAGGAAATTGGATCGGTTTTGTTTTACTTGCCAAATAAAGCAAATGTCAAAATAGTCAATATAAAATGTATTCTAATTTGGCTGAGTTAAAACAGCCAGTATGCAGTGGAATAATTGAATGTTACATTAATGCCTCCTAGTAAAAACTACCTGTCTGTTGCCAGCTCTGTTCCCATGCCCACCATGTGATTTAGAGATAACTTTTACATCACCAGCCTGATCATTCAAAGAATCTTTCACGTCTGTTTTTTACTCTGATTATTTATTATTCAATATATTTTTTAAGAAATAGAAATATATATAAGGGTGCACCCTGGAAATATTTCGTTATTACGGGAAATGCATGCTACTCGAGAAGCCTTTTCTAATACTATATCAGCAATGTAGTAAGTTACTCAAGTATAATGTTTGTGGAAGACTGTAGTCACAAGTAACCTCTTATTTTTACATCACCGTAGAGAGATGCGATTACAGCTGTAGCCAGTTTGCCATTTTATTCTGTGTGGATGAATTCTGACAGGAGCAGCAATGAGTTGCTCTGCTGCTGTGAGTGCTAAGATCAAACTGGTGAGCAGTGCAGAATGGAGCTCTGTGGAGATCTGGCTCTTAGGCTGGTCAGGTATTTATGCTGTTCTCTTCAGTTGCTGGCTAGCTTTATAAAACAACTTTAAATCAAAATGTTGTGCTTGAGTCCTTCTGAGCAATTGTTAACTCTGAATGTAAACTAAACATGTGTAAACTAAACATGAAAAACACGGCACTGAGCTTCTGTACAGCAAATGTGTCTGCTGGGGAGAGCTCCTTACAGCAGGAGGTTTTAGTTTTTATACCGGCAGTGTTTGCTCTGCTGGTCCTCGATGCAGATTGCTGATGGCCGTCAATGGAGGCTCATCAGAGCTTTGTTCTTTGTCAGAAGTTTGACCTCTGCAGCTTGTTACTTGGCAGAACATTGCTTCCTTTCTGTGCTGAGGGATATTATGGCTCACATCAGAGCTGCAGAAGGGGGGGCTTTGTTTGATATTCTTACTAGACTGCATGCATTACTTTCTGGCCACTTTTTGGTGTTCCATTCTGCAGGCATCTGTCTTATTGGTCCCTAATGGCTGCAGCAGCGCATCCCAGCAAGGGTGGCACACTGTGCTGTTTTGAGAGGCATCGAGCTCCCTTACTGCCTTTTCTGTCCAAATCCTGTGACAGGCCCTTGGCATTAATGGCAGCCTGGAGAAATGCCTTTGCAGACTTCTGTCCTGGAAAGCTGCTTCTAAAGAGCCATTCCTGTTTACTTAAGTCAGCAGTGAGTACTCAGTGCGAGTACCCTCAGTTCCTCGCACTGTGATGCCTGCAGCCTCCAGTACTAATAGTGCCAGTTCTGCATGTGACTGCATTTTGGTACAGTGGGTAATGCTCCCACAGGAGAGGTGCCAATTCAGCTGGCCTTTGGCATGCTTCTGTTTCATCCAGCCTGCAAGTCAGTGACTGCAGTGTGCGTGTTGGGGCACTGCAGGAATGCACATCAGCAGCATGTAAGCAGTGTCTCAGGGCTCAGACCCTCTCTGGCTCGGGCTCTGCCTGGGCTGGCAGGGGCTGCTGTGCAATATCCCCTTCTTCTCCAGTCCACTTGCAGCTGGGTCACTCCTGTGAGCCCGGCGCTGACCTCCCCTTGCTTTGCCCCACGACTCCCGTGGCAGCTGCAGCTCCTGCGCCGTGTGCAGCCCTCCGGGAGCTGCTGAGCACCACCAGCACCGCCGGGCTGCGGCCGTTTGTCAGCTGCGAGCAGATGTCAGTCAGCGCTGCTGAAGGGTGCTTTGCAGTGACAGACATAATTGCACTTAACTTCGTGTGTGGATGTTATCAATCTGTGACAAATACTTTGGGAAATGGAGCACTGTGATTGCGGATGATGTGTCACAGGCGTTCAATCTTCCTCTTGGAGAGACTGGGATTCAGTCACAACTTTTGCTTGTTGATGTCAGGTTTTGAAGATGTCGATTGTCACTGACCCTGGAGCCGCTCCATCACGCCGAGCGCAGGGCTGTCAGCTGCGGCTGGGAGGAGGGAGAGGCGTCTTTGTGCCGGGTGGCCATGGCGGGGCCTGGGCTGCTCCTGGCCTGCAGGGTGAGCCCGCAGCGAGGGGCTGGGCAGCTGCTGCTGGGGCCCAAAGTCTCCATCACCAAGCAGAGAAGTCAGATTTTCAAATTGATTTATTCATGGTGTTTGAACTTTGTCCTGCGGGCTTGGAAAGCGATCAGCGTGTGGCTGCCTGCTGCAGGATGATGATGTGCAAGAGGCGGCAGCTAATAAAGCAGCCGTGTGCCCTGGCTTAGTGGCGCAGCAGCCCCGCTCTGTGCAGTGGGGGAACTGCAGGCAAGGAAGCCTCTGCTTTCCCTGGTTTGTAAGTAGCAACAATAATATTTAGAAGTAACAGTGTTAACTTTTTCTTGAAGCCATTTAGAAGGGTTTTCTTGGAGACTCTGTAGAGAAGAAGGTTCTGAGGTTTCAGCGCTTGCCTGTTCCAGTGAGGAGCACAGCCAGGACTTCAGGAAGCTGCCATTGAGCAAGGACAGCCCCCGCTGGCAGCCTGGTAGCCGGGGTCTGCCTCCGATCCCTCATCTGAATGAAGCACTGCCGCACACAGAGCGCTCTGGGGTAGATGGCTTCGATTTGACTGGAAGCCATTCAGAAACTGCCTGAGAGCTCTGTCAGTCCAGGCCCTCTACAAAGTCTTTCTTTCTGGGTGGAGGTACATTTTTCTGTCAAGTTCTACTCTAGAGCTCTTTTGATGAAACTAATTTGCAGTTAATAAAATATGTTCTTTGATTTGAATGCTCAGATCACTTGAATCATGAAATGGAGACAAATATTCTCATTTTTAAATTATTTACCCTGTTACAGACCAAGGATGGCATCGCAGGCTGTGGATAAAAAGCAGTGAGGCAGGTGTTCAGTTGAACCTTGGAGGAAGTGCCTTGCACAGACCCGCTGCCATAGCAGCAGTGAGAAGCAAACTTGAAGGCAGAAGTGTGTGATGTGTGTATGCTGTGCCTCGTTTGACTGGGTGAGCAGCACTGGCATACATTGATCCAATGTCTGCTCCCCATAAGGAATTTGCTGTGAAGCTACGCTGACCATATGGCTTGCATCCAACTCAGCTGGATGAAGATGTGCAAAAATTGGTTGCAGTCCAATATGTTTTAGTGGCAGAAAACGATGATTAGGAAAAAATGTTTAAACAATATGAGTGCTTTCCAGGCACAAGATTCCCTTGCAGCACTTGAGAAAGAAGAACATGTTCTGCAGTTGGGAGAAGTATGATTAATTTAGCTGATTTTGAGGATGCATTGAAAAATTTTGGGGAGTGCTCTGGGTGAAGAGGCTTCAATATCCTTAGAATCATTTTTCTTTATAAAGCTCTGCTCCTGGTATAGTA